CCGTAGGTTAAGCTGCGGGCTAGGCTTCAATCAGCCGGCCGACAGGCTTTGCTGGTCTACGACAGTAGACTAAAATTGAAACCCTAAACCCAAAGGTTTTTCCCTCTGAACTCCTTCTTAGCTAAAAATGGCCGGCCTTGATAAAACGGCCATTGGCTTTGATAAGCCGGCCATTGGCTTTGATAAAGCGGCCATTGGCTGTGATTGACTAACCTGCCTTGATAAGACGGCCATTGGATTGGCTTTGATAAGACTTGCCATCGGGGCCGGCCTCGATCAAATCCGTGGCCGGCCGGCCGTTGATAAACTGCTTATGCGGCGCAATAGCGGATCGAGCCTCCGAGAGCTAAATGTAAGGGTTGGCCCGGTTGGAGCTGGCCTTGAGAAACTGGCCAAACTGCTTCTGCGGCGCAATAAACTGGCCATCGGGGCCGATCAAATCCGTGGCCGGCCGGCCGTTGATAAACTGCTTACGCGGCGCAATAGCGGGTCGGGCCTCCGAAAGCTAGATCTAAAGGTTTGGCTCTTCCGGTTGGAGCTGGCCTTGTATCGGGGCCGGCCTCGATCAAATCCGTGGGCGGCCGGCCGTTGATAAACTGCTTACGCGGCGCAATAGCGGGTCAAGCCCCCGAGAGCTAGATCTAAGGGTTGAGCCTTCTGGTTGGCGCTAGCCTTGATAAACTGGCCGTCGGGGCCGGCCTCAAATCCGTGGCCGGCCGGCCGTTGATAAACTGCTTATGCGGCGCAATAGCGGCTTGGGCCTCCGAGGGCCAGACCTAAGGGTTAGCCCCTCCGGTTGGAGCTGGCCTTGATAAACTGGCATCGGGGCCGGCCTCGATCAAATCCGTGGCCGGCCGGCCGTTGATAAACTGCTTACGCGGCGCAATAGCGGGTCGAGCCTCCGAGAGCTAGATCTAAGGGTTGGCCCTTCCGGTTGGCTGGCTCTGATAAACTGGCCATTTGCCTCTATCAAAACCGTGGCCGGCCGGCCGTTCATAAACTGTTTATGCGGCGCAATAGCGGGTCGAGCCTCTGAAAGCTCGATCCAAGGGTTGGCCCTTCCTGTTGGAGCTGGCCTTGATAAACAAATCCGTGGCCGGCCGGCCGTTGATAAACTGCTTACGCGGCGCAATAGCGGGTCAAGCCTCCGAGAGCTAGATCTAAGGGACTGGTCTTTCCGGTTGGAGCTGGCCTTGACAAGGAATATATGCCGGAGCACGGTGTCCTGGCCTGCCATCACGTTCAACCAAGGTGTAAACTCATGAGGTTAAATGATGATGTCACCTCAGAGCTCGGCCTTACGGGTAAAAGGTACACTGAGTACCGGGGTTGCACCCCGGAAGGGGATGCCGGAGAATTGTGGGATGATGTTACGAATCCCAAAGTGTCGCTGCCGCACCTGTGGCAGGGAACCTCGTACTTCTTCGACAGCTCCGTTGGTGATGCCATGGTTGCCCTAGCGGCCGCTAAGAAATCAAGAAGCAAATCTCAGGCGAAGTCTGAGGCCCGAGCGCAAGGTTTCTTCTACCTTGATCAGCTAGAGAAGGATCAACCAGCCATGCGGAGGCGGCAGGGATGAGTTCCATGATCACCGCGGAGTCGGTCGCTTTTGAGCCCGTGACGGAGGGCACCAGCACATCCAAGCAACCGCCAACCCCGCCGCCACCAAGGCGCGGAACTGCTGCCAAGAGCGCTGTGGGGGAACCCCAGTCGACTGGTTTCATTGAGATTGGAGACGAGTCGGACCCCACGGCTGCCGGTTCGGCCGACAAGCCCCAAGTGAAGGCGATGCCGAGGATTGCGAAGGCCAAGGCGCCGCTTGGCAACGCCGAGGGGGAACCCCGGTCGAAAAAGCAGAAAGACCCTAAGCAGGAGAAGATCTTCTGGGAGGACGGGGCCAAGACCCGGAAGATCAATACCAAAATCCCGGCCGAGGAGCAGTGCGAGTGGCTCGAGGTCGAGGATATGGGGCACGTCCCCAAGGTCAACATGGACCGAGACTACCGACTTGTGGCAATCTCGAAGAAAATGTCATACTTCCTCCGGGGAGGGGCATTCAAGGACGGGAAGCCACACCCGCCGTTCCGCGGAATCGACTTGTCGGTGGAGTTCGATGCTCTGGTCAGGCATTTGAACGACCGGATCGCCAACGTCATGCCTTGGGAGGTGATGATCTGCATCCGGAATAACAACACCCGGAGATTCCGCGTGATGGTTGGGCCCCCTCCATTGGGGGAAGCATCCTGGAAAGGATTGCCGTATCAGGCGTTGCGGGTGAGGGCCGCGCAAGGACACCACAACGAGCTCACCAGGAAATACACTGAGCAGGCGATCCTGACGAATTTGTATTCCTTTGACGAAGAGTTCACTGCGGCAAAGTACTTGGGCGGGCAATACCCAAGAGCGGTACGGCATCCCGAGCAGACGGATCTTTGGCGCAGGGGCTTCCCAGCTGTTCTCTACCACACCTGTGACCTCAGGTCGGCCGAGAGCATCCTCAAGTTTGGCCTGGTCCCGGGGGGCTATCCGAAGTCGACAGGCAGAGCCCACGTCTACTTCAATCCCACGCCACCCTGGGAGGCACAGATGAGGAAGCTGGCAGGAACGCGAGCCGGAAGGCCCGTCACGATTGCTTTCGATACGGAGCTTATGATGCAAGACGGCATTCGACTCTTCACGAGCGATGAGGCGTTTATGTCTGCCGATTGGGTTGGAAATGCCTATATTATTTACGCTTTCCATACCCGCAAGAATGAGTTCCTCTATTTCAATCGTGCGTACCCTGAGCTTCGCAAAAGGTATCGCGAAGCGCTGACAACCGAGCTTGCGCCTGGCCCCCAGGACGTCAATCCGAACTTCTTCAGAAGTGAAAACACCCTGACCGCAGAAAAGGCATGGAGGCATTGGCGGACCGTCGTTGAGGGGACGAAGAACGGCAAATTGCTTCCTGGTGCCGTGACTGAGATTGCCACGATCGATGAGCTCGCTCCCCGGAAGGGGAAGTCGAATGAGAGACCTGCAGGCCCGACATATCAGGTTGCGCCTGCAACCCTTCGACGGGTGCCCGAGCTCTCCAGGGGAGAGAAAGGGTATGGTCGCGGCTGGAACAACCTTCGGAACCGCTACCAGAACGAGCCAGATTGGAAGACCTCTTCTTCACGACCATGATGAAGATCCCGGTTGTGAAGTGCTGGAACAAGAGGTGTGGCAACCAGCAGATCGACGGCTACCTGTTGTGTCAGGAGTGCCGGTCAGACATGGTCGAGTGGACGGATGCCCGGATCGCCACCGAGGTTGTGCGCCGTGAGCACACCGCATCCCTCCAGAACATGGTCTTCTACTTGGAAGATCTCCAGGGGGGCGGTGGGAAGTGGATCCGCTCCAAGCATCACTTCAAGGAAGGCGACAAGCGGGGAGGAATCTCCGTCGAGGCGTCACTCAGGAAGACGGCAAAGACGCATTTGACCAAAGCGCTGGCAATGGGCTGCGAGAAGGTGTCCGACCGGCTCTCGGTCGACCCATTCTATGCCTATAATTGCGCTACGCAAGGGTTGACTCCTGAGAGCCTTGACTTCCTAGGCAGGATCGCCCGAGCGGTCGTTGCAGACCCTGGCCGCACACGGGAGGAACGCGATCGGGGAGGGTCTCAGAACACTGGCACGAAGTTGGTGTTCATTCCCAGCCTCAACAAGCGCGATCCCCACGAGTTGAACGTCTCCACGGAGGCTTTCATTGCGCACCATGCGAGATTCTACAGCATCATGCAGTTTGCGGTTATGTGTGCCTATCGTTTCATTCCGGGCAAGCAGGTGCCAATTATCATTGGGCACAGCGGATCATACGTCCCGGAAGGGAGCGTCGAGAATATCTTGGAGGTCATGATCAGTTTCATTCGTGCCTCCTGGATCAAGTACGACTCCCAGGGAACGATCAGCACCGGCGAACTCGAGATCCCGCAGTTTTCCTCCGGCCGGACGCGGACCTATCCTGTCGAGGCGAGAAACACCCAGTGGAGGGCAATCACCCGGTCCATCCGCCCCGAGCCCTATGCCAAGGGAAAGGGCAAGGGCAAAGGAAAGAACAAGGGGCGCCAGGACTGGAGCTCTTGGAATTACGGGTGGTCCTCTGGATGGGATCAATGGCGTCAGGGCCCGTGGGGATGGTGAGCACCCGCACCAATCGCAAAAGTTTAGCTTTTGTTGCGGTAACCTTTTCAAGTTTCATTGGTGATGTCATGTTCGAAAACTATTATCTTTCATCCATTGATGCCGCAACATTAGCTGTGCCAAGTTTGCACGCCCGGCGGAAGCTGCGGCCGTAGGTCAATCCACGGCCGCCACCACCGGCTGTCATTTCAGTTTTGCCCAGCGGAAGCTGTGGTCGTGAGATCACCTCCGTTTGCGGCAACAGTATGAATTCAGTTTCAAGCATTCACATGAAAATCACATGTGTTTTGCCCGACGGAAGTCGTGGTCGGCCGATTCGATTGGCATGCTCCTGCAAAAATCCAAATGCATTGCAGTTGCAGCGGCCATTGATGCAAGAGGCCTCATATCACCATGGCTTGCCACCTATCCCACTGAGGCTCTACGTCTTCATTGTCTCGACCTCAGAGGACTTTGCTTCAGGCCTGGGGGGGGAAAACATGTACAAAGTACTGTTCTCACCAACGCACCTCTGCAAAGCGGGGGGTGTTGATAGGTAATGGCATACCGACATGATATTGGCTCAAGAAAAATAAGCTGCCGCCCGTGCTGACTTTTAGGTAGATCCCACCTTTCAACACATCAGAGCAAGTAGTCATCTTGGTATGTTCATGTCAAGCGCTGCGTAGAAGACACAGAGCTCCCTATATTTGTCCTTCAAACATCACTCCACCAGGAAGTTCACTTCAAGTTGGCGCAAAAGATGATGAATAGAAGTACCAGGAAACACACATCCAAGACAAATCTGGCTTTGCTCCCCGCACAACATTGGGACCTTTTCTTGTCTGCTCTGAGGCTGAAGACTCGGACCGAGCTGCGGAGCCTCGAGCACCTGCGCCGGGGCGCTGGGGCAGATGTTGCGAGGGAGGGCGGGGATGGGGGTGCCAAGTTGTTAGGTTGGTTTGACGGGAAACCGAAGGAAGATAAAGACCCCATTAAGCATGGGGTTGTGTGTTTTGGAGTTGGTATCCTTTTCTGTTTGGGTGTGAAGGCAAACCAAAGGAACATAAGCCATTTTGGGGTTTCCCTATATTGAGACACACCCCCGCGTTGGGTTTTTGGCGAAGAGACAGTCCTTTCTCACTGGGGATTGTGGCAGGAATCGCATTTGGTTCCGCTCGCCAGTGAGACCCACCCGTGTTTGATGGAACAGGGCTGCTCCGAGCCTCTGGTTGCCCCAGCCACAGGGGAGATTTCCATTTTGGGGTGGCTTACTAGGGACTCCTTAAAAGGAAGCCAACCACTTTGGCCCTATTTTAAGACAACATTTGGTTGTTGTTCTTCGGTTGCTGTGTTTAGGACATGTTCTACCCTTGCAAGGATCTCGGAGCAACCCTCAACAACCCCTTTGCTTCGCTTGCCTTTCCCCGTTCATTTGGCACGCCTGTACGAAGTATGGAGCCCTTCTACCGTGGGGGGGGGGGACCAGAAAATAACATTTTTCCAACAGCGGAAGTGGATCCAGGTCGCCCAAAAGGACATTTGAAAGTTGTCTAACCCTTCCGCGATTGGAGAGAGGGTACGGACCGCTCACCTGCGGTGAGGTCGGCCTGATGGGGAGACCATTATGGACCACGTCTTTGGGGAGGATGTCTCAACCCAGCAGGCGTCTCCGGGGGTTGAAACGTGTTTTACAATTCAAGCGGCTCAAATGGACTGGATGCTTCACCCAAGGCGCAACATGTCGTTTCTGCAAACCAGTTTTCGTCGCTGTCCGTTTCTCTAAGCAGCACCGTGCCGTCGCCTTTGCATTTGATGGAACTTGGCCGCAGCGAGTCCCTGCAACCAGCTTCCACGTGTGGGCCGTTTGCGACCTGACTGACCGCTTCGCCAGGTCTATGACCAAGCCTTCCGCGGCATCGTTTCTGGAGCCGCTGAGGACGTCGAGTTGCGATCGAAGCGTGACCTCCTTTTCCCATTCTGTTCAGGCGACTCAGAAGTTGGCTTAAAAGCCTTGAGCATGTGCTGCCCTCCTTTCCATTCTGTTTTGGAGGTGGGTAAAGATCCTGGGAACATGGGGCGGTGCTTAAAGAGAATGGGAACGTGGCCGGACCCCTGGGATTTCCTTCGTTTGATCCATTTCCCTCTTCTGTTTGCAAAACTGGACGCAGGGAATCCTAAAAACGCCTGCCTCAAGGTAGGGGCTAGAGATTGGTGACGGCAGTTCTGACTAGTAAGTTGCCAGCTGGATGACCAGCATGTTGCTCCCACGAATACATCTTAAACTCGGTTTTAAATATTTTGAAGTACACACAACTCCCATCTAATTGTTTAGGCCGCCCTTGCAGTAGTTGCGGGCTTGGGTGCGGACTCGCCTGCGCGGACGCGTCCGCATCGCGAGGGCATGAATGGGGCCATCCTCGCCTACGGCCAGACTGCCAGTGGCCGCCTGCTCAGCTCCGGCAGCTACGTCCGGCATAGGTTTGGAACAATTACAACGCTGCGGGTAAAAGGAGCTCACCCATGATCAAGGTCCTAAACTGGGCTTACTTCCGGTTCAAGAATTACAGCAACTTGCCAGATAGGTGTCCCTTGCGCCGCTTTGGTTCTAACCATTTGCCAGTGCAATCTGTTCTTAAAGAACCACTAGATTTCGCCAAAACCTGGGTAGATGAATGTCAATTGATGGGGGTACGCTCACCTTGTCAGAAATAGCTGCAACGAAGACCCATTGTGTAGACTCCGTAGATCCTTCAAATACCAGAAGGGGGGGTTGATGTCGTGCAGCTTCACCCATGGCGGGCTGCATTTTTCGAGGGTCCCTTTTTGGATTCAAAGGCCAGAAGGACCACATTTCTGACTTGTGAGCCAGTTGAAACGGTGGCTTTTTGCCCTTGCCATTTGGAAACCAGCCCAGATCCCAACGAGCTTATGGTCATGGCGCCACGGAACGCGCATGGAATCTGCCGATTTTATGGGGATCGGGCAACGCACCCGCCCGCTGGGTTTTGTAGGGCATTTTATGGCACATGTCCCTATGATATGAGATTCGGCCTCTCTTCTTGGAACATAGGTGGCATGTGCACCCTATGTGGCTGTGGGTCAAAAATGGGTCCCAAAATGGATTCCTGGTAAATGGAACCAAGGACTAAAACCTGTGGTCCCCTGGTGGTTTAATTTTGACCCACACCCATGTGAGAAGGGGTTTCAAGATGAGTTTCATTATTGTCTGCAGCATGCCCAGTTTCTGCTCATGGGCGGCTTTTTGCTCACTCCCCACGACACGGAGATTTACCCCCCGAAAGGAGGTGTCAAGGGAAGCCTAGGAATCGGAAAACCGCAAACCGAGAGTCAACTCCCAAAAAGAATCCCAAGAAGTACCCAAGACCAAGTACCCCTGCCCTCTTTGTCAACTCCCTCCAAGACCGATCGGCATTTTGTTTTTTTGGGACCAGTCTTTTAGTCGCAATCGCCAATATCCACAGTGAGTTGAAGGACTGGTGAAGCCTCATAACTGGGGTCTCCCCTGAGACTACTTTATATTTCAGGGTAGAACTTGAACCAGAATGAGAGCAGATTACTTCCAGCGTGCCAGGGGTGGTTTCTTTTTACTGACTAGTAGGCTCCTCCGGATGAATTATCAAAAAATACCCCAGATGTGGGCCAAGATATGTGCCAAAGTCATCAACCTGCTTACTTGGAACAAAAGCCACCGAGGTAAGACCTTCTCCATCAGCGGGGCCACGGCCGGAGTCGGGGGCCCATGGCTCATGGCGAAAGGCCCCGCGTTGGACCCCTTTTGGAAACAAATTGGCGTGTCTTTCTTAAAGGGGAACCCCCCAAAAAGCAAAAGTCAGTTGTCCTTTTGGCTCTCCTTTAGAGCCACGAAAACAGCTACCCTCAAAATCAAGACGCACCCAGATGGCTTTTTCATTGATCCCACAAAAGGCCTAACAACCTTTTGCTCGTTCGGGGGGCTGGAGAAACTTCAGTTTTGTTTGCATGCTTGTGGGGATTCCAGCTTGGGATTTGGGAAGATAATGCTCAAGGAAAACAACACAGCTCCAAAACTGCACCACATTTTTTTTTGTGAGCTTCCTTGAGGGCGGCGCATAATTGGATCCATCGATCCGAGGCTCAATGTGAGGAAGGCGGCGAGAAGGGCCCGCGACTCAGGTCGCCAGAGTGGCCGAAATTTTGTGACCCCGGATAAAAGTGGGACCTTCCCGCCTCCTCCAATACTATTCTACATAGGGCTAAATATCAACAGAACCAGTTCATCTGATGTTCTGTTTGATGTGGTCCAAGCTACAGTTGGGTGAAAGTCGATGGCGCAATTCCCTGTTTTGGTTGATACCGAGCCTTTGACGGCTCGAGGCATCATCCACTTTGCGCTGGAGGACCTTTTTGCCCAGCTCACCAGCAAGGCGCGTGGCGATTTTGCGTGTGATGCGACGCGTGGAACAGCGGGGCACTCCAAATGGGCTTGTGACAGAGGACCCCTCTGTTTGGCTGTTTGGCGGCTGGGTTGAAGGTCCACAATGTTCGATGTTCTGCAAGAAAATGAGTGTCAGTTTCCCGACACCAACTCTAGACCAAGAAACAAACACGGCTTTTTGCAGCCGGATATTGGGGAACATGTCCGTTGCCCTTTTCCCCGGCAAGAGAAGGTGCAATTGTCTTTGGGGTCAAGGAGATTCAGAGACGATAAGGAGTTGCCAGTTGATAAAGCCCATCTTTTGACGCATGGCCAGAGCCTTGTGAGTTTGTGTGTAGTTTTGTTTTTGACGATAGTCGAAGTCATGCCACCCCCAAAAGTATGGGTGACCTCTGTTGCTGACCCCCCAGAAAAATCAAACTATGTCAAACTCATGACTCCAGCTGCCTGCGGGGCGGGGGAGGCAAAGTTGACCACAGGCAGTTCTTGAGGCGACTCGGCAGTTCGCGATGTTCGCAAAGCAAAAGCACAAACCAAGCAGGACATCCCTAGCCCCTGCCTGTTTCTGAACAGGAAGTGTTGCGCCTCAGATTGAAAGCCTCATAGCCTGGCTTCCGAGGTGAAAGGCTTGCGAAAGATCAGGAGGGGCGGTTCCTTCATGCTTCACACATCCTTGAGTCTGTTTGGACGTAGCGGGACCCCCTCCCCCCTTCCCCAAAATCGGGCGGATTTTTTGTGTGTTTGTCGTGTTCCCTTAAACAGAATCCCCGGCTTCCGCGGGCCACCAAAAGGAGCGACGGCTGACGCCAGGCTGGGAAGGGTATGGAGTACTTGGTACGGATGCCCGGGCCTCGGGTTGGCTTGGGGGAAGGGGAAGCCACCAGATAGTGCTGACGGACATCCACGCTGATCGATCGGCACCAGGTGATTGCTGGTTTATGCCGTCCACAGGTTTCCTCCATCCCAGCTGGTGCCGATCAGGGCAAGCGGGGGCCAGAAATAGGTGCAGATCTCCGGATCTGCGGAGCTCATCCTTGTTTATTCCCTGCTCTACCAGTTCTGGGTAGACTCCTGTACCAGGCATTGACTCAGTTGAACACATCAGGAAGGGTCGCCAGTGGAGGTACTCTCCGCTTGCTGGTTGGGGCCGCGGTTGGCGATAAGAACTTGCCATTGGGAGAATGACAAGGCTAGCCGTACACACATGCATACATACATAAATTTAAGAGTTTTCGTCCAGCCAACCGTTGAGGGAGGTTAAAACATTTTTTTTAGTGATTTGGGAGTGAGGGTTGGAGCAAGAAAATAGCAATCTGAAAATTAAGAGCAAACTGAAAAGCAAGAAAAAAGTGATCCACTTGCAACAGTTGACAAGAAAAAGCAAGAACATAGTGATCAGATGGTCATCAAATAGTGATTTGGGCACCTCAAAATAGCGAGAATCCAAATAGTGATTATATGGGAGATCACTATTTTCTTGCTTTTTTTGGAGGCGACGACCCTCGAAACCCGAAAATCTGCAAATCACAACGGGAGATCACTATTTTCTTGCTTTTTTGGAGTGGAACATCATTTTTTCCTGCTTTTTTTGGAGTCGACGACCCTCGAAACCCGGAAATCTGCAAATCACAACGGGAGATCACTATTTTCTTGCTTTTTTGGAGTGGGAAATTACTATTTTCTTGCGTTTGTTGGAGGCGACGACCCTCGAAACCTGGAAATCTGCAAATCACAACGGGAGATCGCTATTTTCTTGCTTTTTTTGGAGGCGACGGTCGCCTGCGAAAAAAAGCAAGAAAATAGTGATCACCCATTCAAAAAAAGCAAGAAAATAGCGATCTCCCGCTGTGATTTGCAGATTTCCGGGTTTCGAGGGTCGTTGCCTGCCAAAAAAAGCAAGAAAATAGTGATTTCCCACTCCAAAAAAGCAAAAAAATAGTGATCTCCCGTTGTGATTTGCAGATTTCCGGGTTTCGAGGGTCGTCGCCTCCTAAAAAAGCAAGAAAATACTGATTTTCCATTCCAAAAAAGCAAGAAAATAGTGATCTCCCGTTGTGATTTGCAGATTTGCGGGTTTTGAGGGTCGTCGCTTGGAAAAACAGCAAGAAAATAGTGATCTCCCACTCCAAAAAAGCAAGAAAATAGTGATCTCCCGCTGTGATTTGCAGATTGCCTGGTTTCGAGGGTTTATCACAATTTTCTTGCTTTTTGTTTCACAATTGTCTTGCTATTTTCTTGCTATTTCTGGTCTCTTGTTTGCTTCATTCTTGCTTTTTTAGTGCCCACTGTTTGCTCTAAAATCACTTGTTTCTTGCTTTTTTTCCCCACCCGAAACTTGGGATCACTATTTTCTTGCTCTGTTGCTTGCTCTACATCTCACATTTTTTTTTAAAACATTTTCCAATGGTTGGCTGGTTTCGCAAGTCTTAAACATAAATTACAAGACCACATCATAGAAGAACATAGCCTGAAACAAGAGAACACTGTATGAATATACATATGCGTAGTTGCACTTATGTATGTATCAGATTCGAAACTTTGGCAATGTGTCTAGAACATGAGTTCAAATGGCAAAAAAGCACAATAACGTTGGCAACAGATTTCAGCAGCAATGTCCGAGTCCAGCTTAGAGACGGGAGGCGCTTGTAGGGATGGCCATCATGCTTTTGCAAGGAATTTTGCTAGCCATTGAAGAGGGGTTGTTTGAAAGGAAGGATGCCCACCGAAAAGGTATCGCTCTCCAGGCTTCATCAAACGTCCGCAAGTGACCCTCGAGAGGTCCTACTGCGAGCTCTACATGGAGCGAGCCGCGCACTCAGACTCCAGGAAATGGAAGTGGAAAGGAGCTTAAACCTATGTATCCCGGGGCCGAGGTGAACTACTGTGAGAGCCTGATGAGAATGGGGTTGGTGGGTGATGTGGCTGATTACACAGTTTGGCCACTCGTATTTTTCTCTGAACAATCGGCCTACCCGGGAAATTGATCACTCCTCGGTTCCCATTTCCGCGCACGCAGGCAAGCAAATGACAAAATTACAGAGGCTATTGCAAATTTGGGGATTACATTGAGGGCCACCCCAAATTTGCCACAGAAACTAGGAGCTGAGACCACCCACTTTTCCCATGTCCTCTGAAGTAATACAGTCGGTGGACAACACTTTGCACAAGTTGACATGAATGAATTCCCCATGAAGACGGGGACCCTATGGGATACACCATCACCAACTGTTCACTGCGGTGGTTTTCGTCGGGAGCGGCCAGGTGAACGATTTGCTTCGGAAGATTGGGCCGCAGAGTCCGGGACTCGACGCGAGTCGGATCGGACTTGGCAGGTGTATGGCATGTGTTTAAGCGACCAAACCCCGGGCCCTTCAAAGGGAACACGGATATTGTTCCAATGGCGGCTTTGTAGGATAACTGGGTTTTAGTTGGCGTTTCGCCCAACCCTAAAATGTCTTGAAACGCAAGCGATGTTCAGGTTTGATAGGAGCGTGGTGAGCTTTGCCGACAACCCCCAATGGCTGTTTTAGTACTGCAAGGAGTACATCGGGAATTCTAGTTTGGGGCAAACGGGCCCATGAAGGCCGATTTTTGCTCGTCATTGATTGAGTGCTCCTTTAAACACCAGGAGAGGAAACGGTTTCTATCAAGTGATTCCATTCAACATCAACCACACAACAAGGAGCAAGTTGCCAGCTTTGTTGAGGGAGAAGGCACTTGAGTCACGATTAAAACTCGGGTAGATGAAGGTTAGAAAGGGATGATCCCAGCCAGAAATAGGTGCTGCCGCCTTTTAATTTCCTTACATGGATTTGGACAGACCATTTGAATACCAGGTTTGATTATTATGACAATAACATTTGCTTTCTGCAAAGCATCGCTCTCCTGCGCCATTGGTTTTGGCTCATCCAATCCATATCATGCACTTGTCAGTTTTCTCCCATCTTGAATGAGATCTTCCCGGAAGACCCTCTCAGGCCATTTTGGGTCCGTGACGCGAAGGTCAGAATCTCATGGTGAAGGAAGATCCGGAAGGCTGGGGCCGCGCTGTGAGCTGCCTTTCTCACGGGAGCCTTCGCAATTGCTCGCACTGGTGCTCAAAACTCAGAATCCTACCATGATTTTAGATGCTAGGGGGGATCAACGAAGCCACTTGTTTTGCTTTTTTGGTTTTAACCACAACAAAAACTGTTGGTTGCAGGGGCCCTGCTCCTTAAAGCTACCAGGTTGCTTTGGCTCGCAAGGCTCACACCCGCGCTTAGTCATGGCGACAGCTGCTTTTGCCAGGAGGGCTGACGTGTCTGTGTGTGGGTGTGGGTGTGTGTGTGGGTGTGGGTGTGGGTGCGGGTGTTGGTGTGTGTGTGTGCGCGCGTCTGAAGCAGTGTCAGTGTCTTTTTAAAGCATACCTGTTGAGTTGCCAAAGAGTTGGACTGGTTGGGTTTATTCATCGTGTCCACCGCGGGCCAAAACATGGGCAAGTTTACATTGCAGGTCAGTTAAGAGAACCCGTTTTGGGACAGTGTCAGAAAGGAAACCCAATGGAGAAGCTCCCTCCCTCCCTTTAGAGATTAGGACCCGTTTGCCTAATCCAACAAAGGCTTCGGATCAAACCGTTTGATCACGGCCCCTTCGATCACGAGATGCCTTCCGTATCTTCCCTGGGGCGGCCCGAGGGGCCTTCTGCCTTTTTTCCCCAGCGCAGAGATGCAAACCTTCGGGCCTCGTCTCAAATTCAGGGACCCGGAACTGGGCAGCCTGTGTTTGGTTTCCAGTAGTAGAACACACCCAAAAGTTACCCTCCAAACAGCGGCGAGCTGGATTTTTCGAAAGCGCCAGGCCGTGGTTTCTATGCCGATGGCCTCAAGGAGAAGATTGTGTCTTCGGCGCAAGAGGCCGCAAAGGGAGCAGCGAGCGAGCTGGCATGAGTATTGACTGCGAGTCAAACCCCTGGTGTATTGGGGTATGAGGGGTACACGTTTCGTTAAATACTCTGTTTAATTCGTATTGAACAGATTCAACACCCGCCGTTCAACACCCCTTGCTCATCAAATTATAAAGTCGCCATAGGAGTATGCGGTTCTGCAGTCCGAAAAAGATCTCAAACTTTCAATCACACCAGATGGGTATGCAACGCGGCAAAGCTGGCGGGCTTGGCCAAGTTGTTTTCCTTGTACATTCCTTTTGAGACCTTGCAACAAGCTACCAATTTCTGCACATTCCCGCAAGCAAGCAAGCAAGCAAGCAAGCAAGCGAGCGAGCGAGCGAGCGAGCGAGCGAGCGAGCAAGCAAGCAAGCAAGCAAGCAAGCAAGCAAGCAAGCAAGCAAGCAAGCCAGCAAGCCAGCAAGCCAGCAAGCCAGCAAGCCAGCAAGCCAGCAAGCAAGCAAGCAAGCAAGCAAGCAAGCAAGCAAGCAAGCAAGCAAGCAAGCAAGCAAAGGCAAGAAGCTGAGGGAGCTGGTTCACCGTGGGGTCATGAGAGCACGCCAGGTGCTTGCACTGTTCGCGGAAGCTGAGAAGCGTCGCCGGGTCGCACACACCCGGTACAACGAGGCACGCTCGCTCGAGTTTTGGTCAAACGAGGTGTTCTCAAATTTGGTTTTGGTTGGTCAACTTGGGGAGAAAGTAGTTGTCCTACGGTTTGAACCTCCAAGAGGCAGTTTCATGGCACCCTAGCGGAGGCAACTTGCAACCTCTGAGGGGTACATCCAGTGAGCCCCAGGGTTTGAAAAGGTCGGGTTCGAAACCAACAAGTTGCAGGGAGTCTCACATCCAAGAGACTCACTTACCTTTTTTCTGGAGGGGCAGGTTTCTGGGTTCGCAAAGGTGTCATCGCGCTCGCACACGCTCCTCACGCTCACCGTGGAATGCTCCGTTCCCCTGGAGGCCAGCGGGCTCTGAGGAACCTGACTGAAGGGCTGGATGATGTATTCTCTAAAACTCAAACCGCAGCCTCCTTTGTGCTACCCAGCCTTCCATTCAGGTTTTACAGCCATGTGTTGTCTAAATAAATCCAACGCGATTGAACCGTACCCGTTCAGTTTCCAAACTTCAAGCTTTCTGTCGGGTTTCCTCATCAATTTCGGCAAGGCCCAAGAAGTAAACTTTGTCTTAGTTCGTCTACTCAGGTCAGAAGTTGTTTGACAGGAGAGTTCGTGTGAGTTGTCTGACTCCTGCCCTGCTCTCGGCTGCAGCGCCAGGGCGATATTCCGGATGCCTCTGTCACGCGCGTGGGGCGGCTGGTGATTGTTGACTTGGCCGGCAACGAGCGGTTAGAGGCGGATCTGCTTTGGGGGGGCGTGGGGCGGTGGGGGGGGGGAGCAAAAGAGCAAACATGAGGTTCTTGTACAACTGCGAGGCTCACAAAATATGGCCGGGATCAAGCATGTCATTTTGGGTTGTGGGCAAGAACTGGGGAGTTGTGCGGCGAACTTCGTGTGTTGCTCACTGCCATGAAAGTTCAATCAGGTAAATCGGAGTCAATTGGATGTTCTGCCAAACTTTGACAACAACGGCAATCCGGGCAGATGTTTTACCGACCTCATAAGCTGGGTGTGCAAGCTAGAGCCTATGATGAGACACCGGTTCTTGGCCTGAAAAAAAAGCTGAAAAAGCACCAGTCACCAGTTCAAGATGAATGTTAGTCTGCAGGAAAACCTCAAAAGCACAACTCCGCACATTTTGGGGTTGTGGGTCCCTTTTAACGACCCCTTTCGTCTCCTCCTCCCGGACCTGCGCCGTTTGCCGTTTGAGACTCGAACCGCAGGGCTCGGAGTCGTGCAGGCGGGAACGGAGTACGTGGCGGAGTCCAGCAGCATCAACAAGAGTCTCTTCTTCCTGGGGAAGGCGAATCGGATCGGATCGGATCAGATCCCTCAGGTCAGCTTCCCTCAGAGGTTGGGGGGGGGTTGCTTGCCCAGCAACCCTCTACAAGAAACATGGGGTTCCGCCTGGGCAAGGCCTTGCCGGGGTTTGAGACCGCTTCCGAAAGAATGGTTTTAGCAGGCGGTTGGGATGCTACTTGGTGCCAGAGGCATAGTAAGGCATACCTTGACAGCACCGGCATTCAATGGGTTTTGGTCACTGCTCAATTGAGAGAACCCCTGCTTGGTGATTTGGATAGGAGGCAAGAAGCCTCGATTGGGTGTGAGTTTTAGTGAGGGACCCGAATGGTGGACATCTGACTTTGGTGGGGATTAACGACTTTTGAGGTGGTTCCAACTCTGAAGATTCATAGCCAATTGGTGGTTTGGATTGGTTAAATGGCACCCTTCCCGAGTAACTGGAAGCTGATAGGCGAGCACCACTTTCCCTGTTCACTGGCAAGCCAACTGTCTGGAAAACCAGGTGAGGTTCGCTCAATAGTTCCGGTTGGGTCTTTGGAGCTACCTGGGGAAGGCGACAGGAAGGAGGAAGGTGCGTCGTGCTTTCTGATCGGCGTGTGAAAAAAGGGAACCCGAAGCAAGACGCTTTTGTTTTTTTGCCTTGTGTGAGGTAGGGAACCCAAAGGCAAACTGACTTCGCTCGAGCTGATCCGTGGCCACCTCAAACACGTCCTGGATGCGTTCTCAAGCCACTTTTTCTGGGGTTACCCCAACGACACCATGGTCAAAACACCTAGTCCTTATGAGGCTCGGTCAAAGCAACCCAAAGCACTAAACCCCTAAAGCCTAAAGAGCAACAAAAGCAACATGTTTGGTGAAGCCACCACCTAATTTGAGGCAAGCGCATGAACCCACCTGACCCACGCCAGGTGATCGAAAAGCTGGCGGCCCGGGACCGGCGGCTTCCCGGGGCCCGGAGCTCGGGCTGTGGGTCTCGGAAAAAGACTCCGCCAGTAGATGGCCCAAAACGGCGCGCTTTGGCAAACCAAGTGAAAAAAAGTGTCTTAGGTACCAAGTTAAACCATTGATTTTGCAGCGTTTGCTTTTGACACCAAAGGAGGAAGCTTTTTTTTGTTTTTGTGGAGGGAGTCCCTTTCTTGGATGGTTTTCGACGGGACACCGCGAGGGTTCAAGGGTTTGGAGGTTTGCCTTTGAAGCGGGAAAAAGGGGGGGAAGCCGCAAACGAACCCAAGAAAAGACGCGCCAACTGAGTCGCCTCTGGCTTCCTTTCAAACAGTCCTGTTAGGTGCACCCTCAAAAGGCACATGTCCGGAGTTTGCCGGGCGTGCTAGGATTCATCACCCCTTCCCGCAAGCTGAACTAATGGACGCCCACCATCTCAAGTGGTGGTCCAACCCATTGAAGAGAGGATCTTTCACTTTGGGGAAACTAACCCGTGAAACCGCTGGGTTTGTCCATCCAGTTTGACACTTCTTCCCACTACCAGAGTATCTGCGGGAATATCTGGAAGATCAGTTTCCTCTAACTTTATACAACTCAACTGACTGTCATTCATATAGCAATACTGCAGATAAACCAAACAATGGCAATCAATTGCCACGTCAACGGACCCCAGGTGCAAGGTTAGCGGGAGGGTGATTTTTGCCCTGAAGTGATGACGCTAGCGCACGAGGCCGTGGACGACGGGGACCACATCCCCTTCCGGGATTCCAAGCGCTGCACTCGGACAGACGAGCAGGGTGGTTTTGTGCGGACTCAGGTGATTCTATGGAAGCTGCCAAGCCGGAACTATCCAAAGGCGTAGGGTTCCCACTTTTTTTCTTTTTCCAAGGGTGGCTTTAAACATCACCAATCACGTTGAACGTGAGCCTCCTCATATGGGAGATATAGGGAGCCCTGTCCTATCTGGGGAAGGATACCTTGTTGGACGTTCCCCTCAAAGCAAATGGTTTTCTCAGGGAATTCAGCTTTGGTGCCGGACCAAACGAGAGAAGTTGAGACAGAAGCTTTAAGAAAGACACACGGGAACCCCTAGATGGGGCGCCCCTCCCAAGAGATTCTGCACTCACCCCAGAGC